CAAATTAGAACAACGTTGGCAGCAGTTTTGGCCATGGTAAAGCTGCCAGCTTTATGTGAAGGATTAATTTGTTCCTTGTTCTCTCAGACTCATGCTTAACGAGCTCAACTGCAAACTGGACGCGATTTCTGAAAATCGTAGGCCACTTGCGGCTCTTGGAACTCGCTAGCATGAAGGATTTGATCTCGGAGAAAGCTAATTAAGCACGGACCAGGCAGAATGTCTTCTAGATCTGGCTGTTTGGATTTGCCATTGAGTGCAACAGCAGAACTTGAAGGTAGACAGAAAAACAGTCTGGCGGCCCAAACAATTGTTGTTTATCTGAATTTGGCCTCCCCGCTGGCCTTGGACAGATCTAATTATCTCAAATTGCTCCTGGAGTATACGTAAACAAGAAGCTTCTGCCTTGGTTGGTCCCTCCACTCACCAGTATCCATCACGCTGTGTTGTCTTGGACAAGCAAAAAAAAAAAAAACACAACAACAACTAAACACTCTTTTATGCAATCAGTTAATAAAGGTGTCATCACTTTGGAAAGCACTCAACTCAAAAACTACAAATTCTCACTATTCAAATCCTTCAATGAGGGGTGACATCAGTGCACTGCTCGTTTCTTATGCTATTATGCTATTGACTTAATACACACGTGAGACCTTAGAGCGATGGGTAACACCCAAAATATAACATTTTTAAGCAATGAATAAAGACAAAAGCTTGTTTTTGTAATAACAGAAAAAAATCTGAAGACAGGTTTATTGTAGGAATAAGAGTAAATTAATGTTTCTCTTTTTTTTTTTTCTTGAACAAGGTTTCATTGTTTTCTTTTATCAGTGAAGTTCCCCATCTTCTGCCATTTCACGGTGCTTTATACACTCTTACTCAGCAGATAAAAGATGACTTCCTTTGTGAATAAAACACAAATCATGGTAAACATGCTGACCGTGACACCTGCAACCACGTTGGAAATCTGCACTACAAGCTCCATTATTGAACAAGAGCTGAACAGTGAAAAGGTGGTAATCAAACGTCAGAGGAAGCATCTAACGCAGCATATGTCTAATTTAAAACCAGCAACAATTTCTTATCTTTCTCAAACCTTTGCCAGAGTTGTTCCTTCTTCGATTCCAGTTGTGGAAATCTTCTCCCACTTCAGTTGTCAAACTGCACTCTGTGGACTTACACTGTGCATACAGTATATTTCTAACACACACACACACACACACACACTCAGCTCAAGTTTTAGATAGATCAAATCTTAATTACTTGTTTCACAGAGTCAAGAGGAGTGAGGGTTTCAAGGAGATGGAGTTGGACAAGAAACAGAGGGAGCGAGAGATGAAAAAGAGCCTCATCGCAGACTGATAGCTGCTAATAAAGTTTGATTATGAATGACAAGGCACTTTGGCTTTCTAACTGACACTTTTAATAGCTTGAGAGCCCAGATGGTAGAAAGGAGAGGGCAATCTTTTTTCTTTTAGTTCAGTAGGGATAGTATAACAGAAATCACTCTCTAATTTAGGGGGGAAATGAAAGCAAGAAGAAATTTCGTTCAAACTCCAGTCATCACCTCTGAGGTGGTTAATTCATTATCATTGCTAGGATCATCATCTCTGACACCACACTGATAACACTTTATTTAAATCATGATCGGCGGTGAATCTGAGACGTCATAGCAAAATATGTAGTGTTGGTTTTTCAGCGTTGATAAATTTGAGTTGATTGGTGTTGATTTGTACGACGGAGTTTTAGGGCCACGCTAAAAAAAATAAAATAAAAATTACATTGCCACGCTAAGGGAAAAAATTTAAAGCCATACAATTACATGAATAAAGTCATAGTAATGCAATGATAAAGTTGAATAAAGTCTTACTATTACAAGAATAAAGTCTAAAGAATAAATACTTTTTTGTTTAACAGCTGTCGTTATTTTTTTTTTTTCCACGAGTCGGATTCACAATGCGACCTGTCAATCAATCCAGAAAATAATACTTATTATAAACTGCATTTATTTTCATTGTGACTATTATCTCCTGCCTTTCTGGCTCATACTATATATATATATATATATATATATATATATATATATATATATTAACCAGCTCACAAGTTTAACATCTATGGTGGCAGTCATCTTCGATTTTGACATGGCAACCCAATTTTTGAAAGGAACCTTACGCCTATGTGCATCCACACACCACAGTGGAAGCCAGTACCTCACTTATGTTTTAAGTCATGCTCACACCTTGCACGGCCAGAAGGACAGAGAACTTACAATTTCCCCTTATGGCTCCCTGACGGGGGGGTGGGGTGGGGGGGGGTGGGGATGCACTTTGTCAAAGGTCTGTATTCTTCTCTAAGATTTTATCAAACCCCTTAACATTATTTATATTCTTTCGTTTTTTTTGTCTTTTTTTTCATAAAGCAGGCACATAAAATTAGTGACTAGTTTCCAAATGAGAAAATTCCAAAAGACAAAGACAAATGTGTTTGAGGCACGCAAGCAAGAAGGTCACATCAACACCCAGGAACTGTATGTTAAATTTAGATGAAAATGTCATCACCTGCATTGCACTTCTGGTGGGTTATAACCTGCTGGAACGCTTTTGTTGCAGAGGAATCAGCTGTAAATAGCAGCAGAGTAGCGTGAGTGTGCATCATTATATTGTTGTCAGCTTGAATAGCTTTATCTTCTCTTCTCCAGTCTCTTGACTCCTCGGCTGCATGTGTGTCTGCTCCACTCCACTCTCTACACAGCAGAGCAAATTATGCCTTTTAAACCAATACGAGTGTTCATGTAGATGTTTTAAATGGAATACATCTGCCAAAACAAAGTCATCAAATTCCTTCAGATTCCCAGTTGCAGTCTTTGCTCAGTTCTCTTTAAAACTGCATTTGTTGCCAATGACTGCCTCCCAGTGTGACAACTTTGTCATTTTCTACATTTTAAGAAGTCATTACATCACATCCTAAGATACTGGGGTGGACCACTTTCTAATAAGATGTAACATTTCTTTTGACCAGCCCTATACAAGGAGAGGCAAACAGAGCTGCCAGCTGCAGTGCAGACCTGTAACGAAATCAGACTGACGCTATCGTTTTCAGTAACTCTGTGTGAAATGCTGCAGTTTGTGTTTTATTAAAGCAAAATGTTAGCTGTACCCACTCATACTGCAGCACACTCAGTGAAAATCTGAGTGTTCACCTAAATGTTTCGCTTACATCCACCAGTCAGAGCTGGAGCTCTTGATGCTGAGTCACTGACTCTGTGTTGAATGCCAATTGTTACCTGCCCAATTACAGTTAAAAGCCACATTATAGTGCTTTCTAGTTCTTTTTTGTTCCATTGTCGAAGTGGCTTAACAGTCTATGAGAGGAGCTGATGAAACAGAACACCAAGAGAAAATGGAGACTGCCACGCAAACACAAAAACACATTAATGGACACGGATCTGATGACGAATCTGATGCAGGATTTTGTTCTAGATTTCTTTTCAACTTGCTCTAAAACAGCATCTGTGACGGACTCCGACTAATGTTTATTTATTTATTTATTTTACAAAATTATGCAAAACTGGTGAGTCCAAATAGACTTTTTGAAAGTTTGTCATAACTATATTTTGCATTGGCTTCAATACATCCTTTTAATTAGTTTTTTAAGTCATGAACATGAAGATGATTACGGTACGGAGCCCCAGAGGGGAAATGAGGGAATTTTTTTCATTTTGCGTTCCCACGCAAAAGTTTGTGTGTTCTCTCACCATATTGTAGCGTTACCTTGCAAATAATAGCAACAATGGAACAGACACTAGTATTTTAGGTTCATGGAGTTTTATTTTGAAACCTGCCTTAAATCTAAGGATATCCAGTGTGTGCTACCGCAGTAGTTATTTTTACGTTGGACATTTGGGTGGGAACGCAAAAAACTTTGCGTGGGAATGCAAAATGCAAAAAAATCCCCCATGTCCCCTCTGGGGCTCCGTAGATGATAGCTTTTATCCATCCATCCATCCATTATCTTTACCCGCTTGTTCCATTTTGGGTCACGGGGGTCGCTGGTGCCCATGTCCAGCAATCACTGTGCGAGGGGCGGGGTACACCCTGGACGGGTCGCAAGTCCATCACAGGGCCACATAGAGACAAACGAGACAAACAACCATTCACTCTCCCACTCACACCTAGGGACAATTTAGAGTTACCAATCAGCCTAACATGCATGTTTTTGGTCTGTGGGAGGAAACCGGAGCACCCGGAGGAAACCGGAGCACCCGGAGAAAACCCACGCATGCACGGAGAGAACATGCAAACTCCACCCAGAAAGGCCCCTGGACCAGGGTTTGAACCGAGGACCTGCTCGCTGAGAGGCAGCAGCTCTACCAGTTGTGCCACCGTGCTGCCCTGATAGCTTTTATTGTTTCTTTATTTATTTATTTTACAAAATCCATGTTAGCCAAGAACTGTACAAATTTCAGTGACATGAAACTAATAGATGTTTGTGTTTGTACATTAGCTAATAAAATTTCCCTTTAAGGATTCCCATTTATAAGCCGTCTTTATTAGTATTAATGTGAGTAAATACGTAGCATTTACACAGTATTGTCCATCAGTATGAACTACAAGATTTTCTCATTATTGGATGAGATTAAACAATACTAATATTGGCTGTCTTGAGGACTTTATTAGAGCACAATTTCCTTTTTTTTTTATTTCCTATTAAATAGACATTTAATTTCCACACATTTGCTCTGAGCTCATGTCACAATATGACATTTTATCTGTTTGTTTACATGTGCAGAACATCCAGTTTATGCAGTTGTTTCTGTCGTGCCACAGTTCTGCAAGTCTCAAAGATGCTCTAACTCGGCGTTCAGATCCTTTTTTGTTGTTCATTCTAAACATTCTTGCACCAGTGATTGCGTGAGACATTTTCTCTTCATATGTCATTCACATTATTTTCAGTAAAATAGAACCCGAAAACATTTCATGCATGTTGTGTTGTTTCAGGTTCAGAAATGGTGGAGGCTCAGTGTCAGAGGTTTGAGGTGAGGAGCACAGATGGTGAGAGAGTGCTGTTCTCTGCAGATGAAGAAGAAATCAGCATCGGAACAGAGAAACTTAAAGTTACAGGTAGAGTTGTGACTTTTTTTGTGTTTTTTTCATTATAATACATTCTTGTGTTAGTTTAGGCACAACTGTTAATTTTAACTTTACTACTTTTACAAGAACCGGTGACTTAAACTATTACATACAAAGTACGTTTGTGATTTATTACTGACAATAGCACCAAGAAATACATTAAAAATGTGATTCCATGCATTTTGTTTTAATTACAAATAAAAGGTCAATATTTAGTGTATTAATACATACACACATAATGTACATACTGAACAATATATTAAGGAGAAAAATACATAAAAACGTGGATTACTCTAAAACACAAATTTAACAAAAGACATTATTTATTTTACAAACTAATAAGTAGTGGACTTTATTGTGATTTATTTATGCATTATATTTTTGATGGTTAAAAAAACCAGTGAGCTCATTTACATTTTCATGAAAAATTATTTCAGCCCATCCTTAGTTTTATATAGTTTAGACTTAATATTCTGTAACGACAAAACAAAAAGATTTTTTTTTTTTTTTATGCGTCAATCAAAACACAACCAAAACCACTTTTACTTAGTGAAGCATCTTTAGCAGTCCTACAAGTTTGGTGCAGTTTTGGTGAAACGTTTCTCTTCTTGCTGGCAGAATCAATGAAGCTGGGTGTAAATAAATGTGTAGCTTACGATACATGCAGGATAAACTAAGAATTCACATCTGTTCTCTTCTTTGATTACCCAGCTTATTTTGTAGTATCATATCTTAAAGTTAGATGATTTTTTTTTCTTCTGCCTGTGTGTTTTGTGCTTTGAGATGTAAACCTTCTGCTGCAACTCTAAAGACTGAGAACTCTGGAGAAAGAGTTTTCCTTTTTTTTTTTTCTCTCATGGTCTGAGAGACATCCAGGTGCATTTCCAATGTCCTGGCAAGTTGTCCTGGGCCTTTTTAGAAAAATGTCGTCTGTGTGATCATTCTACCATGAAGGCCTAATGTGTGGAGTGCTGCACCACCTTTTGGCATTCAAGTTCTCTAAAATTAGAAGAAACACTCATTCTCAATAATAACTGCAGTGTTTTTATTTTTTCCTGTTTTTGAGAACAAAAAATAAAATGTCATTAATGGTTCTTGTTCATTTGAATGACATTCCACCTCTAATATGTCTCTGAACAGTATACTGTTGACTTGTATCAAGTGGCAGTATGCCCTAAATATGTTCTGCAAAAAACTGCCTGGATTAACAAGGTCTTGTAAAAGAAAAATAATTAAAGATCTAAATGGGACATGTTAAAAAAAAAAAAAAAAAATCATACAACTTAAAAAAACATTGTGTCCTTATGAACACCAGCTTTGAATGTTTTCAGCCATTAAATAGCCGTTATTAGTTGTTATCATCCCCATAGGTTGCATTCAGACTGTCCCTCCTGTTTAAAGGAACGTTATAATTCTAGAATTGCACCTCTCGATGTGGTTACATATTGGAGGAGCTCTCTTAAATTAATTCTGAGTTACTGCTTTTGAAAACTTTAATTCCTCTTTTTTTCTGGGTGTAAATCACTCTTTTCGGATGATTACTTCCTCTGGTATCGGATGCTGATGCAGCTGGAAGGATTTTTACTGGAACCTTTCTATTTTTGTACATTTGTTATGATGCATAACCATGGCAACAAGGTGGGTTTTTTTTAACAACCAGAAGTAGCTGAGTAGCATCTCAAAAACATCAATAATATCTTAGCTACAGCCCCAAATCTCAAATGAGTTGAAAAGGAGGTGCCGTAGACGAATTCCCGTCAATCTGGTGGCGGTGCTCGAGTACCTGACAGTCAAGATCCTGGAGCTGGTGGACAACTTGGCTCGTGACAATGGGAGGACCGGGATTGTCCCCCAGCACATTTCAGCTGTCGTCCATGGCGACGAGGAGTTCTGCTGACTGCTGGGAGGAGTGACCATCGCTCAGGGAGGAATTCTGCCCGGCACTCAGGCAGTCCTGCTGCCCAGGAGGACAGAGAGACCCGTCAGATCTGACAGCAATTCGGATCCTGGTGGACGGATCAGTGTCTGTGTATTCTTCGGATTTGCTGCAGGAGATCCTTTCTGCCCACAGCTATCAGCATCTATAACAACTCTTGAATGAAACCAGGATGATGAGCTGCTTAATTTCTCTTTGGGATTAATAAAAGCATTTTTGAATTGAATCGTTCTTATCACTGATAATAGGGTCAGGGGGTTAGGTTTAGGGTCAGTGCTCTGGGTCAGGTGTAAGTTAGGGTTAGGAAAAGGGTTAAATAAAGTTAACAAAAAAAGACTTGTGGTTTTAGATGCGGGTGAAGTTGAATATTATCAGCAATAAGAATTTAAACCTACAAGGAGGCACAGGAGGGACAGTCTGAACCCTCCTATGGGGATGATAACAACTAATAACGGTCATTTAATGGGCTGATAACATTTGAAGCTGCTGTTATGAATGTGAAATATTGAAAGTAGAATGAGGTGAGAGAGTTCTAATTCAATATAAGATCAAGTTAATTATGGTAAACACTGAGAAATTTAAAAAAATCTTTATTGAGACTGAAGCTTGCACATTCAGATACTTACTGTTAGTGCGATCTGTACCGAGTTCAGACAGACACGATCAGCAGGCGGAGCAGTCTTTTTCCTGTCTGTCTTTTTATGGTTCAATATTTTATTCTCGTGTTATAGTTGACGATTATATAAAAACATACATTCACGTGAATCTTATAAATGTAACTTTCAAAGTAAAGTTTTAACTACACGTGGATATACTTACATAGCGCTTTAGGACATTTGTCCATTAAAAGCACTCTGAGGGAATGAGGGCAGAGAGGGGACAGTTTTTTGTCCTCCACTCTGTGATGAAGGACAGAAAATAAAGTGTCTACTGGAGAAGGTCAGAATATGAACACATCTATTTAGCCTATGCATTAATGTCTGCTGGAGTCGTGCCATACGTTCATTAACTCCTAAATTAATGACATTAGTGCATCATTTTTTGTGAGTGAGACTGTGCCAAGTGTGTTGGTTTCAGTTCAGTAGCTTTGCTTAGAAATCACTTCATGCGGCACTCTGCAGTAGGACAGGTGCCACCAAAACTGAGGATGACAAACTCATAAACATTACGTGTAATCAGCAAAGATGCAATGAAAACCCAAAAAGCTGTGATGAAAAGTCTCAAACTGTTAAAAAAATTACCATCATTGTGTCGGATTGAAACCAACAACAGAACTTTAAAAAGGTCCAGTTTGATTTTCAGTATTGTTTTCAGGAAGAGGCGCTTCTACGGACGCCCTTGAATCTTCTAGAAAACAAACTTGGCAGCTGCTGTTTCAGTTTTGAACAAGATCTCGGTCGTCTTGTTATCTACGGGCCTGCCAGCGAGTAACATTGCCTCATGCAGTATTAAATTTGTACTGGTGCTGAGCTTTCAATATAGCCTGTATCGTCTCAGCGAGGGCTGGTGCCAAGCATCTGTTCACAGCTGCAGAGGTAGCTGCAGGAAACGGGGGGTTAAGTACGTCATTATACCACAGCCAACCTTTACATTTTAGTAAGAAATGCATATTGGAAAGAAGAGAATGCAAAAATTTTTAATGCATTTTTTAAAAAGCAGAACTCTTTATTTTTACTTCTTGGCTTTGATTAAGTATTTAAGAGATATCAGCATCGACACTAGTATTTTTTTTATTTTTTATAAAAAAAATATGCCTCAACTACATTTGATACATCTTGTCTTAAGTGTTAGCACGAAACGCAAAACCTCTGCCCAGATTGTGCTGCATTTAACACTACAGATTACCCTGTTCTTTTATTCTACTTTAACAGGGAGTGAAGGAGTCGTGTTCAGCCATTCAGTAGAGACTTCACACGTAAGAGCAGAACCTTCCCAAGATCTAAAGTAAGTACTTTTAAACAACTATCTTCTGTCTCCGCATCGTGGGTGAAAAACTTAAGCGGCTTTAGTCAGATAATGACCAGCTCTGTGGACAGCAAGCTAATGGCTTGTAATGAGCCCACGGCAGAGAGACATGTGGTGTTGACTGGCAGTCTGACAGGCCTGACAGAAGGTAACAAAAGCTGCCGTGTGCAAGGGTCAGACTGTCAACAAATGGTGCCTTCCACTAAAACACACACCGAGCACACTGTACTTGCTAGATAAGCTGTAATAGGCATAGATTTTAATTGCTTTTTATTCCTTTTCAAAACATTCTTTTGCAACACTGATACTTACCAGGGTGAAGCCATGATTTATTACATGATCTCTACGTGACCACACTTTGCAATAACAAATGCTGAAGTATACATTTACTGGAATGTCAGTACTTATGTAGTAAAACGTTTTCACCTAAAATGTAGAAGAAAAATGTACTTGAAGAGCAGAATGAAGTGAGCAGTCAAAAGTCAGACTTAAAGAGAACACAAGCTGAGTTTATATATATATATATATATATATATATATATAGATATATATATATATATATATATATATATATATATATATATATATATATTGTATATATGATTGCTCAGGGACTGGCAAGTTGAGGAACAGGTTATTGATAAGTTGGAGCCATAAAACACTGAGGCAAAACAATAGTGAAAAAGTAGAAATCTAAATGAATCGAGAACACAATGAAACTCATTTACATATACAAAGAACACACAAGTAGCTGGAATTAAACAGAAAACACTCTGAAAATAAAAAATGAGGATGGAAAACAGGAAAAACTACAAAAACACCACAGACTGACACCTTTACTGTTGACTCAATAATGTGGTTTGAGTTTTGGTCACATTTTTTACAGTTGTACATGACTACTACCTTGTCTTTTTGAAATGTCATGGAACATAATGGCAGTGTGTAAATCGGTGATAAGGCACCTAAAACCCACCTGAAGCTGCCAGAATGGAACGCTGATTTTATTTTTATTGCAGCAAGACACTGTTCAATTTACTGGTCAACTTTGTTGGACTATAAGAGGATTAATAAAAATACAGCCTCCAGAAAGAACCCACAGGTTAGAAGGGGGGAAAAAAGAGATGGACACAGATGAAAAAAGCAACAAACTTTCAAGAATACTAGAACTCAAAATATTTAAAAAAGAAGCAAAGACAATGGACAGAAGAGACAGAAAGGAGGACAGAGCTTTGACACAAAAGATAGGCGAAGGGAAGAAACAAGACTGAGCCGATGTGCATTGTGTAGGCTTTCTGGAAAGAAGGGCAACGAGGCAAACAAGGGGGTAGAGTTTGAGAGGAGGAGTTGGAAGTATGTAAAATAGGTTACATAAAACAAATTCCTTCAGGGATTCTGAACAGAAGTAGCAGATGATGAGACACAAGAAACAGGAAAAGTTTCTGGGCTTGAGACAATCATGAATTTATTGTATGTAAAAAAAGAAGGTGGTTCATTTCTGTGTTTTCTTTTGACTGGGAGAAACAATATTTTTTGATAGGTTGATAGAAGCACCTAGCATGTTCTTTTAAGTAGTTTGCTTTGATCTTCCTTCATCAATTGTACATTTATTACAGAACCTGTCAGAAATAATGGTAGAAAAACAATTGAGGTCATAAGAATTTGTTTGCATAATTTAGGAAACTGGGCAAAGAGATTTGCAATTTGTACCTTTATTTTAAATAACACTGTGCATGGATTTACAATTGTTTCCGTCAGCTTGGGAAATTGTATGCATTCATTTTCAATAGCATTGGTGTGCATGTGTCAGGATCTGTTTGTTTAGTTGCATTACAGTAGTCCATAACTTATCGCAGGGGTTACATTCCAGACACCCCCACGATAGGTGAAAATCAGCTAAGTGGGGATGTTATGTTTAGTTTAGTATTTATATATTTTAAGGCTTTATAAACCCTTCCCACACTCTTGCAATTTTCTTAACAAATGTTCTAAAATCTAAATGCTCTAAAAGAGCACAGTGAAAGACAGCAGAGAGACTGATGCTATAGTTACTGAGCCAATTAGCGCCCGAGGGTGGACTGCCCATAGGGTGGACTGCCCATAGGGAGCACCGGGACGTTTTCCGAACCGGTTTGGGAAACATCCCGGCTCGGCTCGGATTGGCTCAGCTCAGTTCGGGTTAAGGCTCAATATAGGTAGCACTTGATTATTTTAAATAAACAATCCATGCCACTCACTCTGGTATCCACCTCACTGAAGCTCCCACAGTAGCATGGTAAAAGAGAGATCTCACTCCCTCCTTTCTCTTTCTGAGGCTAACAGCCTCATAAGTAGAAAGGAGAGGACCCCTTGGCTATCACTGAGCAGCCAGGCCACAGGGAAATGATGTGTACAATCTTGCGTTGAAAACCCGCGAAAGAGTCTGCGAAAGTCAAACCGTGAAGTGTCGAGAGACTACTCTACTTGTGTTTTCATATAATCAGTCTATGTTTTCTATGTGCCCCTTCTCATCTTGTCAGTTTTGCTGCATCTGCTTCAGCTCTGCCCACTCTCACCTGTCCCCAGACTTCATTTAGCCAGACTAGACTTCATCTATGACATCAAGTGTCCACTTCCTCCTCATCATTCATTCTTTTAACCTTTATTTAAACAGATATTTATACCTCATTGAGCCACGGGGACTCATTTACAAGAGGGAACTGTTCCAGAGAGAACATCCAAAGTACAGACAACAAAACAGTAGGCAATGGCAACAATAGACTACAGTAATAATGCAGTTAAAATAAGAGTAGTGTATAAAACAATAGATCAGGGTGCCATAAAACAGGGTGAAATACTAAAAATGAACATATTTGCTTTGATTTTTCTATTGACATTATCAAATGTTTGAAACCCTGTAACAATATCAAGGTGGATAACTTCAGTTCTTGTTGCAAGATGTTCCAGGTAACAAGAGCTGAGTAGGAAAAGGCCTTTATGCCAAGTTCAGTCCGCAATGCGGGGACAATGCAGGCAATAATGGCCTAAGAGTGCATGTTGTAACTGCACTCATGGCATGATGTGGGATGATATATAAGAAGGTAGCAGACCAAAAAGAGATTTACAGATCAGCCTCAGTCTACTGTATATGTGATCAGCCAGTTCTCTTTCATTTCTCAGTAGAGCATTTTTGGCTTTCATGCAATGTTTGGTGCTCCTTGTGTTTTTTTGTGTTCCTTGTGCTCCTTCAAGAAATTCTCCTAGAGGGTTTTGTACTTCCTCATCTGTTTTATTTTATTTATTTATTTTATTTTATTTTATTATATTATAAAGTTATAGCTACTTGAGCCAGTTTGCATTTTTTGGGTCCAACTGCTAAACCGTGACAGTGTGCAGCAAGTGTGGTGTTTACCTTTATTTTCAATACAGATGCAAAAATAGAAGGGAACATTACTTGAGGTGAGACAAGTTGCAACATCAGACAGTAACATTCAATAATATCAATAGATTTGTCTGTGTTTGCTCCTAAATCTCACCAGACCCTTTTTTTCCATGTTAATGTCTCTGTAACTGTTGCATTAAAAGCATGCCAGTTTGTACAGTGCAATTTTAGCAAATGTTTATAGACATAATGGTCAACCGTTATTCAGTTTGGTGTGACTTGTATTGATTTGAAGTGGTTTGTAGTGAAATGCCTATTTTTCTGCAATTGCATGAGGTTTTATTCGAAATCTTAGATGTTTGTTTGTGTAGAAGTTATTGATATTAGAAGTAGGAATTTGTACAAATATTTTAATACTGCTGAACCGAAACAATGATCTATTACTTGCTCTCTATCAGAATGACATCACCTTTGCTCCCACAGTTTTATATATCAATTAAAATGTGAATAAAAAAATACCAATTTGTTAGTAGCTATAAAATGTTGCAAAAGCAACAATAGACTGAAGCAACTATTGTAATAATCATCTTTGAAAGCAGAGTACATCTGCCAGACCTTGTTCTCTTTTTTTCCTCATGAAAGGTTGAATCTTTGTGCAGCGACGGTAAATGGGACATGTAATGAGTGGATTGAAATCCGTTCAAAAACTAATGATCTGTACTGCAGGTTACCAGGAGTAGAGAAAAGAGGGAAATATGGAAACCCACAAAAAATGACTTTGATACATAAAATTCAGATCAAGAAAGTGCTTTAAAGTATATTATCCCTAGAACATCCACATAAATAATGGTATTATTTTCACACACACACTGCTGTTAAGATATTTTTAATCTAGACTGGTCCTATGGTTTTGATCTGCTCAGAGACGGGATTATAATGAAATTATGACCCGGTTCTGACTGGGTTGAACTGAGCCAGCAAACTCTTAAGAGAGTCTCCCTGGGATTCAATATCTGTCACGGAATATATTGATCTGCTTGCCACATCACATAGAAAAGCTTTGAAGCACCGTCTCATATTTTCCTAACACGTCGGTAAACATAAGACCACACTTAGCCACGCCCCCTCATACACTGATAGGCTGAGCTCCCCTTCTGTGAAGGAGGAGTCATAGGATCCCATAAATTAGTAAAGACACGGGACTTCGAGGCTCTTCTTCCGGGTCTGTAACGCGTCACAGACGGGAGAGTCCAGCGCTGTGGACCGTAACCTTTTCCTGCCTTGATTTTAATATAATTGGTAAAACTGAATCCACGCTTCCTTGATTTATTTGATAGCATGAGTTGCCACTTCTGAGGGAGATAGAGCCGGAGGAAAGTGCTGGGGGCTGGGTGCGGGTCCATGGCTAGCTAAGGCCCAAGGGCTAGCAGTAGCTAGCTGTAGTGACTGACGACTCACAGTCAGCTCCAAAACGCAACACTACCTTACGCACATTTCAGGGAAAGTTGATTTCAGTTTATGTTATTAGTGCTTAAATAGAAGACAACTAGATATCCCCATTTTGGTTCACACAATAATTCACTTTTTATTCAAATAAACTTTTTTCTTTATCTGTAGAGTTTTTT